ATGTTCTGTACTGGCACCATAAAAAAAAAATTAAATAAAGTCTTTTTTTAGCCTTCAAACACTTAGAAAATAATAAAAACAACTAAACAAGACTGCAGTTTACGTCTTTGCAGCATACAAAAATATCTGTTTCATTGCAATATCTTAAATTCTCCCTTAATCTCTCAAACCCCTATGAATAAAGCATTGGATTACCAAGTAAAAGCCTTCATCACAAGGAATTAGGCACTTTAGCTTTAGGCTCCATCTAAACCGTTGCATTAGGAGAGATGTTATTGACGTCATGTTTTCCAAGTCGCAGTTGACTCACGTGGTGCATTCCCTCACCCTTTAAGATCTTGCTGAGATAAAATGTGTCTCTCATGACTCTCTTCATTCTTTCTTTTTGGGTGGCTTTGAGGCACTAGCATGCATATGGTTTTGTAGCTAAGAGACAAGAGTAGGAAACTTAGTTCCTGTTCATGTGCGTGCCAGTGAGTCTGTAACAGAGCTTTGGCAAATTGTGTCATTTCCTTCATCTATAAGATTAATAAATTAGAATAATATTTTACTTGCAAGAAGAGTGTTTTTAATTAGGGCCGTGATGTGCCGATGTCTGCCTGCAATATGCAGAAATTTAAAGGACATCCAGCTCATGATTCCCTCCTCCCTTTTCTCCAGCTATCATATTTTAAAACTTGCTGTGGTACTAGAGTTTTTCTATGTCCAATTCATTATTTATGAGAATTCTATTAGAATTCATAGAATAAAATGGATGGAATGCATGTCTCGACTCAAATACCTATTGCCTCCCCACTTCAGCTGGCTAGCAATGAGGAATGCAGCTGGCACCTGGTCAAAAACTGTCCAACAAATTCCTGTTTTTCAAAGGTACTATCCCTGTTTAAGGCAGAGGAAGTGTAGGAGTCACCAGTGTGACCTTGAACCATCATTCAGTCCTTAGTGTTTACAAAGAATTACATTCTTGCTAAATGTTGTTAAAACAGACTTCAGTCTGAACCAATTTGCTTTATGACACTTTCTGACACTTGCTGTATAGTCTTAGCCTGTGAAAGGATTTCTGATTGCATTCATTTTTCTTCCTTTTTAACTAATACATATGATAGTATGTTGTATCTACAGTAAGCATGAATTGCTTAGATTTAGTATGTCCCCATAATCTGGATAATTGCTTTTGTGAAGCCATTTTAGTTGAGCGTTTTATGGTTTGCTGAACAGCTGTTTATCTTGTAGATTATTGATGCTGCAGTCCATAACAGAACCAGCATGAGTTATGTTGGATTGATTTTTTTACTTCATCACATCATTGAGCAGGCGTTGACTACTCTATTTACGGAATTGTCACTTGATATCACATTTTCCTAGGAGTTGTAACGCCCTGTCATCATATACTTAAGAAAATACTTACCTATAGAAGACCTAATTAGACAAATTATTATGGATTCATTGTGGTTCTGCATTTTTTCGGGTGTGTTATTTTAAAATAATAAAAGTCAAATTGACCTTACAGTCTGGAACACAATTGCAGCTTTCACCAGAAAGGTCATTAGCCTGAAAGTTGGAATATAAGATTTGCAGTCCGTCCCCACTTCACATACCCCAGACAACAGTGTTCTGTTTACACTTGGCACTGTTGTAAGCAAGAACCTTTCTGGTCCGCTGAGTGATTATGTAACTAGACAGGGCTTTTATAAGCATTTTAAGCACCCAGTAGAACAGAGTAACTTTTTTACAGTTTTTTATTGTCTAATGGTAATTACATAATTGGACAGGTTTTAAGGTTTTTTTTTTCTATCTGATATGTAGATGCCAGAGTCTCTTTTGAGCATTCTTACTAAAGAGTCCTAAAAATCATTCAGGAAAACAAATCTGCTAGGCTTCCCCCTATTATCAACATCCCAAAATGCCTTTGGCACGGAGTAAATGCCAAGCATTTGTTATTTGGCACTTGACTAGTCACTCATTTATTTAAACTCAAACATGTTGCATAAGATTGTGAAAGTTTTGCTAAGCTAATAATTAAAAACAAAAAAAAAAACCTCCCTTGATTCAACCTTTCCAATTTCCATCTAAATAGTACCATCAGGGCTAAAATATACAGGACCGTATATCCCATTAGACATAACTGACTGACTGGTGTTGGCAAAATGTGCAGTTGGCAGTGAGCAATGGCAGGGGTGTTATTCTTACACTCAGAAGGGCCAGGTGTGTGTTGCTGCAGTAAAACAGCTCTTTTTCTTCTCTCTCTCCCTGCGCTCCCTGCCCCTCCCCTTTTATTTTTAGTCAGGTTTTGGCCATCTTTTCCTGATATCAGTAGATGCATATTTATTAAGCATCGTTTTCTGTCTTGAAGATTCTACATAAGATCTCTAAGATACAGCTTTCCTTGCACACACAGGACACAGTAGTTTTCTGTTGTGGTATTACCATCCTTTTTAATGCATGCTTACTGACTCTTCCTTCTCCATAGTATTTGGGTACCAACTCCTTGATTTCCCTTTTGAAGGTCTGTATAATCTTGTCCTCACCCAACCTGATTTTTCTCATTCTATTTTAGAATTTGATTCCTATCTCCAGTCAGTTTTTGTTACGAGCCCTTGACACCATCTTACTAGATTTTTCAGACTAACACTTACTTGCTTGCCCCAGGGTTGCCTTTCACTTCTGGGAAGAAATATCTGCAAAACTATCTCATCTTCATCTGTTCCTTTATTAAAATTCTTCTTTGCCATGGTGCCTACCAAAAATGTATGGCTGCAAATCTGACATGCTATGACTACTCTTAGTCCTGCTGATGGGGAATCTAGACTGAGGGAAGAATTTTCTTATCACTAATAAACAAAAAATATGTGTGGTAAAAAGAGAGCTAGTTAAGCCATGTATTTTAATGCTTTACTTACTGCTTCTGACCTGTACAGTATACTCTATGTCGGCAGTCTAGTATTGCATGTGTACCACTATTGAAAATACGTTGACAGTAGGAACATAAATCAGTTGCAAGGGCTTGGTTTGAAGAAGCAGAAATCTAAAAGGTGAGAGAAAATTCAAGAACTGCATTTTTATTCTAATTCTAAGGCAGCATTGCTTTGTAGAACTGTATTTCTCTCTTCTATGTCCCATATCATTGTTTTATTTGCTATTAAATAGAAATAGAAATGCCCTTCTGTCTCTGGGTGCCCTGCAGAATGTTTAAAATACACATCAAACTACTATTTCCTTAATTTTGGCTCCCTGAGAGCCCCAAATTTTAATTGAACTTATGCGAATAAATATTCATATGTAATTTTCATCTCTCCAAGATGTCAAAAATAAAGATGGGTTTTGAAGCATGGTCCAATATACATCCTCTCTTTTGCTTATTTGGTGAATGTTTTTTATCCAGTGCTGCTTAATATTATTTACATTCTAGGTTTGAAACATTATAAATGGGAATTCTGCTTTCATCTGTCATCTGGCTTTACTGGGTAAAGTCACAGATTCAGTTTATGGAGAGTGACATTGCATTCATTGGTGATACCATTCTCGGGGATAAAGTTTGATTAATTTTTTTTTTAATAATTTACATTTCATATTATCAAAAACTGTGTTAAAACCTCAACTTACTACAAGTTGTTAAAATGACTTAAATTACTTTTAAAAAGTATGTAAGCTGTATGTATACTGCCAAGCTTTTTTTTATAAAATCAGGCCCCTAACAATTTGATGTCTTTGTTTAATCATGACATTTGCTAAATATCTCAGGTCAGAATTGCTCAACTGCTAACACAACTTTTGAAAGACATCATCTGTCTCCAGAGGAGAGACGTGAAACTGTTTTTCTTATTTGATATATTCAATTAGTATTGTTTCCTTCAAAGCTGAAAATTGGAATTTAAAAACAATGATGTTAATTATGATTAATTTATATTTTGCTGAAGTATTCACTACATGTAAGAAACCTTTAATAGGAAATCATATCAGGAGTTTTTGTGGGCTGTAGCTGAATGAAATTGAATTGCAGCTTGAAATAAATAATATTAAATACCTAAATATTAAAGCGAAGTAGTTTGACTTACTATTTTTAATAAACTGAAAATTAAAAATTTGAAACCATATTCAACCATATGAGGAGTATTTTAATTAATTTAAATCAACCCATTTTGTTTTAAAGCGCAGCAAAGGAAATAACATTTTACAGCAAATAAATGTTTTCTGCTCTTAAATACAAGGTGCCTTTGCCATTGTACGTCCATCACATAATTTTTTTTTTTTTTTAAGGACTTTGGCAATTCAAGCAAATTTAAATTCAGTGATAAAATACTAGATGTAATAGTCTTTTAGAGCAGCCTAGAGATAACTGCTATACACCATTTGCAAGGTTCTGAAAACAGCTAATATAACTAAATATAAATATTAGTGTGAATGGATTATAAACTAAAAGAAACTCCAAACTATATTTCTCAATGTAAGGCCTAAAATTCATAATAGAAATGTGTTTCATGACAACATTAGTCATGTGCATTACGTAGTCAATGTACTGATTTCATTTGCAGAAATACCAGTCCCTTGTTGTTGGAGTTGCCCTAGATCCATAGTCTTTAACAGACTATCAATAATGCTAAATTAAACAAAAAAAGGAAAATAATTTAGACTGTAAGACAAAATTCATATCAGAAAATCTGCTTCAAACTTTTAATAACTGTTACATACGTTTTGTGTCTTTTGTTTTTACAGATTTCCTTTTTGCCTCCGGAGTGTTTCGTTATGGCAGCCTCCAGTGAACAATGACATCCTTTGACAAATACAGATGCCAAAAAGCCAGACGAAAACAGTGGCCTTGTTTCATTTTTACTCCAACACAGTGAAATGGTGCTCTTAAAGTTTTGTTATTGACTCTCACTGGAAAAAAACAAACTCCTGACTGGACCTTTTTTCCCCAGCCCTCTCTCAGTGTTCTTATGGATGCTTGACACAGTGACATCATGTAGTAGGCCCTGAAGTGTTGTCATAATTAAGTTGCAATGGTTTTATACACTTCCCCATTTCCCAACAGCTTTCTGTCAGTTCTGCATTCTTTTTCCTGGGGCCTGATTTTCCCATGTTACTGGTTAGCAGATAGGCTTGTGGCCTCTTTTGTTCCAACCACCTATGAAAAACGTCAAAGAGCAGATGATCCATGCTATTTTCATGCACTCTGCATCATTATTACCACTCCCATCTACTTGGCACTGTTGGTAGCCTCTCTTCCTTTTGCTCTGATTGGCTTCTTGTTGTGGTCCCCGCTCCAGTCAGCCAGAAGGCCATATATCTACTCCAGACTAGAAGACAAAAACCATGCCAATGGAGCCACACTGCTCACGGAATGGAAGGCTGCAGGGAATGGGAAAAGCTTCTGCTTTGGCAGTGCCAATGTTTGCCTGCTGCCAGATTCTCTGGCAAGATTTAATAATGTTTTCAATACACAGGCTAGGGCTAAAGAGATTGGCCGGAGGATCCGAAATGGGGCAAGCAGACCACAGATCAAAATATATATAGATTCTCCTACCAATACATCCATCAGTGCAGCAAGTTTTAGCAGCTTGGTCTCCCCCCAGGGTGGAGATAACACTAATCGTACTGTTAATGCTGGCATCAAAAGGACAACATCAATGGAGTATAAAGGAGACAATTCTGGCTCAAACAACAGTGAGGATAGTAGAGAAGATAAAGCTGGAGCTGAAGAGCCAAATGAGGGAGAAAACACTTGCATTGTCCGCATAAACGGAGAGGATAATGGCCACATGTCAGACACAGAAACAGATACCGTCAATGGCCAGGCTCATGCCAGTGGCCCAGCAGAACCCTCACTGGAAGGTGACGCAGAGATCTCAAAAACACCTAACCACAGACAGAAGGAAGGAGATTCTGGGAGTTTAGACAGCTACTCTGCCTCACGAGAGTCCTTAGTTAAAGTTCGCGTTGGAGATGGTACAGTGGACCAAAGCACTGTCAACAACAAGCTCCTCTACAAAGCCTCAATCATGAAGAAAACTTCAGTGCGGAAAAAGAAACATACAGATGAGACCTTTGATCATGAGATCTCTGCTTTCTTCCCTGCCAACTTGGACTTTCTGTGTTTGCAGGAAGTGTTTGACAAAAGAGCTGCGGAGAAATTGAAAGAGCAGCTTCATCACTATTTTGAATACATTGTCTATGATGTTGGGGTCTACAGTTGCCATGGCTGCTGTAGCTTTAAGTTTGTGAACAGTGGTCTACTTTTTGCCAGCCGCTATCCTGTTATGGATGCTGCCTATCACTGTTACCCCAATGGAAGAGGAACGGACTCCTTGGCTTCCAAGGGAGCCTTGTTTCTCAAGGTAAGAGCCTTTTTGAAGCCATAAATACTGACTCTATATACATGACAAGTTATAAAGTTATGTTATTTTCTCTCGGTCATTTCTGTTAGAGTTCAAAGAGGCAATATTCAGATCTACATTACCTGATATAACCTATCAGATACTGATAGGCCTAGATACTGTGTTAAAGTGATGGATGTGCATGAAATGATGAGGGACTTCCGGAGGTAGAACTTGAGTATAATTTCAAGTGTCAAAATTTGAAGTAGTTTTCATGTAAATTTAGTTTCTTTTTTACAGAAATCTCTTTAATAAAATGCACAAATTCTAAGCTTCATAACATGAGTATAGTGCAATGGGCATTACTGTTGGAAACCAGCTTACGCATGTTTTGTGTTTATGTGGGAATCAGAAGTCTAAATGCCAGTAGAATAAAACTGAAAGAATTGCAATGAAATGTATGGCTATCCCTCTCTCTTAGTTGCAAAAGAATTGTTAAGGAGAGATACAAAGAAGAGTAAACAAAAAAAAAAATTGTGTCGGACACTGGGGAGCACAGCGGTTTTTCACTTTACTAACACAGTTTACTTAAATTAACTAATGGTAGTGAGAACAGGAAGCCTGGGGTTATACTTCTGTAAATCATGAAAACCAGAAATAAAAGACTGCATGCAATGATTTGCCTTTCCAAGACTGGTGGCTGTTCATGCTTAATTCTAGGGAGAATCTGGCTGTGCTCTTCATAAACTGGAAAGCGAGCTCTTCTAATTCGTGACTAATCAAGAACCAAAACTTTGTGCAGAGATCTAAATCTGTAGACCCAAACATAGACAGATCTGAAAATCTCCTAGGATACTGGATTTCAGATTTTGTGATTTTGTCACAGTTTGGAATGGGTTTCACTAACTAAAAACTGACCTTTTTTCCTAATGCTAGCAAAATACATTAGGTGCTCAAATTATATATACTTTCTAGTGCATATGCTCACGAGTCCTCAACAAAAGCCATTAATAGCCATTAAGAATATGGATTGTTAATAAGGATCAGTGCGTTTTTTTTGTACCCACTGTTTGTAATTAGTAAACAAAGCAAAAATTTCTGGTATCGTGGCTTGCATAAAAAAAGCAAATATTAGAATTGGCAGTCTGATAGTAGTCCAGTATTTTCTTATACATTTGACATAAACAAAAGCCTATCCAGGTTTCAAAAAATTGGGTCTAAGCTTTCTATATTGCACTCTTATGCGTTTATAAACAGCTAAAGTTTTTTTTTTTCATCATAAAGTGCTGCATGCAAAAAGTGAACATACATGTAATAATAAATATTACCAGGGTCACAAAGACTACCCTTCAACATATGCATATATTAGGGATTAAGAGATTAAAAACAATCTGCTTTCAACTGCCCATTGCTGAGTCATTGATTTGCTACCCTACTAGGCAGGCCGCAATGTCTCCATTTCTCTTGCAGAAAATTAAGCCTCTTTTCAAAATTCCACTGGGATGATGAACTTAATTATGGATTTGAGTTGTTAAATAATGGCACAGTCAAGCAGGGAATAGGGACCAATTATTATGAAGATTCGAAGATGACTACATTCTTTTAAATATGACAGAATTCTGGCCCAGCTAAAAGACCATTTTTCCTCATGTCTGTGTCATTCTGACATACTGTACTTTATATTTAAAATATTTTTCATCCTGAGTTAAGTCTATCCTGATACGAAATGACTTTCTGTCTGAATTGTACATTAAGTGATCATTGGTCATTTCTTTCTTTGACAAAAAAAAGTAGGAATGATCTATTTAATTTTAGCTTTGAAACAAAGTAGGTTTGAAGGTTTGTTTTTCTTGATGTAGTGCTTAATCAGCAGCTGAGTGTGTCTGGACTGCAGAGACAAAAGGTACAGTAAGTAAAAGCCTGGTTTGTTTTTGTAGTCAGTGGGAATCAATCCATTAACTTCAGAAGTCTTGAGGTCTTACACTGGGATAGCAGCAAGCTAGCGAAGCGTATAGTAACTGTGGTTGGAAGGTGTCATTCTAGCCACTACTCTGCCATTCAGAATGGACAGCTTATATCACTGCTTTTAGATACTTCTTTTACTGGCTCTTACAATATTTTGTATGTATATAATGCAATCCAGTCCTACATTAGAGTTTATCTCAGTGTGGTTTCAAAGATAGTAAGATAGCCATGCAGAACAAGAGTCTCCTAATTGCTTTCCGTTCAGTAGTGGGGTGGAGTTAAGTGTCTTGGTCCTACGCAAACTCTGTGTTTTTAAGTTCCTGACTCCTGTGGAAACCATGGTGCTCCCACTTCTGAAGTAGAATTGACATAAATTGAGTTTTGTTTTGGAAGTATACTTAGGAAGACTGTTCCTCTTGCATAGCTTCCATCTCTGAGTAAGGGAGCAATTGCTCTCTGTGTTGTTCAAAAAAAAAAAAAAGTTGTGAAAAGCGAGTGAGGGGAGAAGACTTGCATATTTTGAAAATATGGATAAAATCACTTAATGTTTCCACTTGTTGGGAGGACAAAGCCGTTATTCAAATCTTTCTGAACCTCAGGAAAGACCCAATATCCAAATTCAGAAGAATGTTCAGAAAAAGAAACTGGCTCTCATTTAATGAGTATGGTTTGTCTCCTTACTACAAATATAACTGTTAAGGAGATAAATTAAAGGTCTCAGAACTAAACATTTAATGAAAGTTGAATTATTTTGAACAAAAAGGCAAAACTGTTTTGGGGGAGTTGTGTTACAAAACAGATCCCTACTGCCAAGGTGCAAGTGTTTCACACATTTTTTCCTGTCAGAATAGATTCTGTTTCCAGTGAAGAGGAAATGATTTTCCATTGCCCCCCTCTTCCCTGCACTGCCTTCACCACCTAGACTGTAAAGTTCAAGTGGAGATTTGGAAGGATTTGAGAGATTTGCTTAGTCATACAGAATTATTTTACCTGAGAGACTTACACAGCTCAAGGGTTATTATTAGTAGCTATAATAACAATCAGCTCTTATATACTGCTTTTCATTCATATGTCTCAGAGTGTATAATAAACAAAGGTCAATATCTGCTTCCATAGAAAGAGAAACTAAAGTGCAGGAAGGTAAAGTGATTCGATTGTGCCTTAACACCTGGGGTGTCGCAACCAAGGAAAGAAGTTGGAAGTAAATCACAGAGGCTTTTAACACTGTTTCATGCTACTGACTTCATGCTACCCAACAGCTATCTGGAGACCTGTGCGAAGGAATTTTGCTAGCCTTGGTCTGTTCTCTTCCTAAAGATGTCTGCCACAAAAGGTGCTGCTGCTGGCATTTTCCTGATAGAGATCACAGACTGGTTTTTCCATTTGTATAGGCTGATCCTTTCCATATCAGGATGAAGGCATGAGGATGACATAGTTGTGAGTAGCTATTGTGTAAAGCCCATTTTCTGCATAACTAGAGGACTAATTTACATGCAGCAATTTGATCTCTTCAAACTCTAGCAGTGTTTCTGTCTCCAATCTGAGGGTCTCATTGGGATGTAAGAGGGACACAGTCACAGAAAAAATAACATATAAGAAGGGGGAAATGTCACTTGCATCTAACTGACAGTTTCATGTCTGAAGTGTTAAACCACTGTTCCTAGTTGCCGCTAAAGACTCAGAGGAGAAGTTAGCAATAGATAAATCAGCCAATCCATTTTCATACTTTGACAGTCTGTGCCCTTGGGAGACTCTGCCGTGACTCTCTGTTCTAGCATTGCATTTCACATTAATTTAAAATGCCTAAGAAAAGAACCTTTGAGTCTGCTTTGTAGGTTTTGTAACTCCAATTGTCTCTTAGTGCTGCTCTGCTACAGATAGAGGAGGGAAGTGGGACTGACACAGATGCTATCCTGTGCTGGTGATTCTGACTAAAAAGTCAGCTTGTATATATCTGTGTATAACATGATGCAGATTGCAGTGTTCTCAGTTACTCTGCAGCTGTTGGTTTGACACATAATTTTCACAGTGGTTTTGATGAATTTAAAGGGAGTTTTAAAATACATGTCCCTTTCAGAAATTGGATGATGATTTTGCAGTCAAATCAAGTTTAAAAGGTATCAATGGGTGCTGAGCAGATACTGTGTAATGCATCACCTGGCTGTAATTTACTCAAAGGTTTCAAAATGTCAACATTCATCATTAGATAGAGGGATTAGCACGTAGCCTTAGTTACACTGTCTTTCAGGGATGCTGTGTAAGTTTTGGACAGTAGTGTAATAAAACCAGAAAACATCCTTAACTTGAGCTGATGAGTTACTGAATTGGAGAGCTTATCCGTATTTTTCCAGATGTATTAATCTAATAAAAACTGTCACTTCTGCTGACAGATTTTGCCTCTCTCTTACCCTTAAATTGTAACGTAAATCTAAGCCATACAAGACATGTAAATGCATACTTGGGGTAGGGAGGTGAATGACAGAGGTGTTATTCTCAAAATGGCTATTAACGGAAGAGAGGCTTTGGAGTGGTTTTCCTCCCACTGAGACTGGGAGATATGGAAGTATGTTCCATAGAAGGCTATTCTTCCTACTGTTCTTAGTAGGAAATTATTCTGGTTTTTGGCATCTGTCAAGAGAGAGAATTTTAGCAAAAATAAGAATTCTTGCTAAAAACACAGTATGTGAACATAGAGCAAAAGCAAAACTGCAGTCTGATGTGGGTAGTTTGAACAGCTAATAGTATTCTAACAAAATCAAAAGGAATCAAAAGGAAAAAATATCCTGCAGTTTTTGCTAAATTTCTGAAAGAACTTGTGTTTAATTAATATTAATTCCTAAGCTTATTAACAGATTTACTTTTCAAATTCTCTGAAAATTAATGCCGTTCTCAGGAAGTACAGTAATTGTGCAGAGAACATGTCATTATTCATTGCTTAAAAGAAACCTAGCAACCTTTGCTTTATGTGCAAAGTGAAACTTGTTTTCAAAAGAGCTGATATGGTGGCAACAGATGGCAGAAGGAGCGGTAGCTCTGATTGCAAAACTGCTTTGAAG